TATACCAGGATGATGCCTACAGCTGCAGGCATCATCCTGGTATCATTTTGGTATCAACCATGGCAGAATGACAGCACTAAATGCCTCAAACATCACAGTCGCGCACTGGAGAGACTGTGGCGCAAAACCAGGTCCCCTCATGCATTCTCCCTCTACAAATCTGCCTTCCTCACTTACACCTCCTCCCTCCATGCCGCCAAGCAGGCCCATTTTGTTAACCTGATCAACACCCTCTCCTCCTGCCCTCGCCGACTCTTCTCCACCTTCAACTCCCTGCTCTCTCCCCCCCCTCCTCCACTCAGTACCTCACTCACCGCCCCACGAGATTGCCACCCATTTCCACAACAAGATTGATGCTATCTGTAAGGACATTGTCAACTCGCAATCTACCTCCCCACCTACCCTCCCCACCCCCGTCACCCCCTTGTCTCCCCCCTCCTCTGCCCTCACAACCGCACTGCCCCCCACCTCTCCCAAGGCCCCGCCCACCGTAACCCCCCTGCACTGATGAAGTCACGACGCACGTGACGCAACGCGTCGGTTTGTCTACTTCCTGGTGACGCATGTCCGGACGCAGTGGCCATATTGGATTCCCCCAGGTGCATGCATATCTACCCGCAGGCTGGGAAAAACGCTATTTTATGGAAAGGAGCATGTGAGTGGAAACTTTGTTATTTCTAACTTCGCCTATTAAATTTACTACACTATGGAAGGCTTTCTTGTCTTTTTCTGAGTTACATAAGAGAGGAGGAGGATTAAGGAGTTTGCCAGAGGAATACACCACTGAGGTGGTAACTGCTTTGAGGCCCTGTGTGGGTCAAGGAAGGGAGGTGAGCAGGCATTGCTGCCATTTGAAGGAGAGTACTTGCACTTAGAAGTGGAGATCACGTGTGTGTTCCAGCTTAAAGCACAGTCACATGCATGGAATATTTTTTCACTTTTGATATTGTCTTTTTCACTTATGGCATATATTATTTATGTTTGATTTAGACACCATTGTATGTGGCCAATTATTCTGTTTTCACGTATATATACTTTGTTCAGTATATCTGATTCATGCACTATATATTTAGTTTCATAATGTGTGATATTTAGTTATTTTGGTTGACACTATTTTTCTTTCCACTAGAGGGAGTCAACACACATTTATTATATATAGTGGTCACTTTGATTTCAAATTATACTTTATGGAGATACATGATTGTATTCATGTGATACAAGCGCTTCACTAATTTTATGTTTATTTCTTGCACTTATTGGTATTAGTTAAGTGACAGCAGCTGTATCCTGTTAGTTACTTCCCATGAGCGCAGGAGGATCCCATACCATTTAACCCCCCTGCACTGCCCTCCCTCAGCCCTGTCACCACTGAGGAAGTCGCCAAGGTCCTCTCAGAAGCCCGCCTCACTACCTGCCCCCTGGATCCTATCCCCTCTCAACTCCTCCGGTCACCCCCCTCTTCCCTCATCCGCTCCCTCACCTACATCTTCAATCTCTCCCTCTCTACTGGCGCATTCCCCTCCCCCCTAAAGCACGCGCATATCACCCCCATCCTCAAAAAGCCCTTCCTGGATCCCGCGGACCCCAACAACCTCAGACCCATCTCCCTGCTGCCATTCACCTCCAAGCTCCTTGAGCGCATAGTCTACGATCGCCTAAGCGCCCACCTTACTGACAATAACCTCCTTGACCCGCTCCAGTCCGGCTTCCGTCCCCTGCACTCCAGTGAAACTGCCCTCCTCAAAATCACTAACGACCTACTAAACGCCAAAGCCAAGGGCAACTACTCTATCCTCCTTCTCCTGGACCTCTCCGCAGCCTTCGACACAGTTGACCACCCCCTCCTCCTTAATAAACTACTCTCCCTTGGCATCAGAGATACCGCTCTCTCCCTTGTTCTCATCTTGCCTATCCCGACGCTCCTTCAGCGTCACCTACAACGGTGCCTCCTCCCCCTCCCTCCCCCCCTCTGTTGGGGTCCCCAAAGGCTCTGTCCTTGGACCCCTTCTCTTCTCCATTTACACCTCCTCCCTGGGCAAACTCATACACTCCCACGGCTTCAACTATCACCTCTACGCTGACGACACTCAAATTTACCTCTCCACCCCTCTCCTCACCCCCACTTTCTCCGCCCGCATCACTCACCTCCTAAGCGACATCTCAGACTGGATGTTGCTACATTTCCTCAAGCTTAACTTAACCTCTCCTCGTCTTTCCCCCTGCCCACCCCCCCCCCCCCCCCCCCCCCATCCTATCCATCATCACCAACAACACCACTATCATTCCCGCCCCGCAAGCCAAAGTCCTTGGCGTCATTCTTGACTCGAACCTCTCCTTCCAACCTCATGTCAAATCACTTACAAACACATGCAGGCTCCACCTCCGCAACATTGCCAAGATACGTACCTTCCTTACCCCAGACACCACCAAACTACTCGTACACTCCCTGATTATCTCACGCCTCGACTACTGCAACTCCCTCCTCACCGGCCTACCCCAGTGCAAGCTCTCCCCGCTTCAGACCATCCTGAACTCAGCGGCTAGACTCATCCACCTCACCAACTGCTCCACCTCTGCCACCCCCCTCTGCCTCTCCCTCCACTGGCTCCCGATTGCCCAACGCATCAAATTTAAACTTCTAACCCTGACTTACAAAGCCGTTCACAACACTGCCCCTGACTACCTCACCAACCTGATCCCCAAGTACCGCCCTACCCGTACCCTTCGCTCCTCACAGGACCTCCTTCTATCCTGCTCCCTGGTCTCCTCCTCCCATGCATGACTGCAAGACTTCTCCAGGTCCTCCCCCATCCTCTGGAACTCACTGCCCCAATCCATCAGACTGTCACCTTCCCTCCTCACATTCAGGCGCTCCCTCAAAACCCATCTCTTCAGGGAAGCCTACCCCACCCTCACCTAACGGCCATTCTCCCTCATTCCTCCCACCACTTCATTCCCCTCAGCCACTTCCTACTGTACCACTACCCCCTCCCTCCTAGATTGTAAGCTCCAAAGAGTAGGGCCCTCTTACCCCTCGTACGTTGTTTGTTATTGTTGTACTGTGCCATGTATTGTCCCCCCTATATTGTACAGCGCTGAACAAACCCTTTGGCGCTATATAAACTCGATGTAATAATAATAATAATTTTTTTCAGCCAGCGATCCGCTTTCTTGTCAAAGCAATCCTAGTGGCTAATTAGCTGCAGGACTGCTTTAACAAGCAGCGGGAGATGATGCCCCCCCCCCCTCCATCTGCTTTCCACGGCCTTCTCGGGCAGTCCTGAGAAAGAAATTGTAAGCTGCGAGCATTTCATCACTTCAGTTTCGCAGGATATAAACAGAACAATTTGTAAATTGGGAAAGCATCTGATCACACCGATCTTTGTTTGATTAGATAATGTAAGGGCAGAGGAGATATCCAGAGTCTGATAGACCCCAGAGTTCTCAAAAAAGAATATATGACAATGCCCATTGAAGTTATAAGGGATATTTGCATTCCGTGATAGAAGTAAAAGTGAAAAAAGAAACAACTAAAAGGGACAGTGTAAAAATAATAAAAAAAAAAAAACTTAAAAAAAAAAAAATCACCCTCGCCTCCCATGCGCGCACACCTGCGTGCGCGAGCGTTGACCCTGTGCTGGTATGTAAACAGCGGTTGGACCATGCATGTGAGGTATCGCAGTGAATGTCAGATCAAGGGCAGTAATTCTAACCCTAGACTTCCTCTGCAAATCTAAAATTGTAGCTTGTAAAGGCTTTTAAAACATAGCCTATGGATATTAAAAACAAATGCAGTTTGTCGCCATTGCATGGGACATGCGCAGTTTTAAAGCATGTCATGTTGGTATCTGTTTACTTGGCATACCATCATCTTTTTATATCTTACCAAATAATTGGCCAATATATTGTGTTTTTGTCCATTAAAACACAATGTGTTTGAAAAATTGCTGCGCAAATACTATGTGACATAAAAAGTTGCAGCACCCACCATTTTATTCACTAGGGTGTTTGCATTAAAAAATATATATAATGTTTGAATTAATTTCCTAGCAAAAAATACCGATTTTTTTCAAAAAAAATTTCGGAAAAGGCTTGGTCTTCAGGTGGTTTGAAGAGTGAGTGATGTGTGGCATAAACTTCTAATGCCCCCAAAAACGACCCCTTTTTGGAAAGTAGACACCCCAATCTATTTGCTGAGAGGCATGTTGAATCAATAGAATTAATTTTTTTTTACCACAAGTTTTTGGAAATTGACAAAAAAACATGATTTATTGCTCACACATGCCATGGGTATATGTGGAATTACTCCCCAAAATACATTCTGCTGAGTATGGGGGTACCACATGTGAGAGACATTTTGGCAGTCTAGCCAAGTACAGGACCTTTTAAAGGGCTTTATTTCCTCATTACACTTCGCGACTACCTATCACAGTTTTGGAATCCCTGAAATGACAGGATAGCACCCCCCCCCCCCCAAATTACCACTTTTTGGAAAGTATACACCCCAAGGAATTTGATAAGAAGCATGGTGAGTATTTTGCAGATCTTGTTTGTTGCCACAAGTTTTTGGAAAATGAAAAAAAAAAAAAAAATTTTTTCTTTTCTTTTTTTATATTTCAAAACCTTGTGAAAAAAAATGAGATCTGCAAAATACTCACCATGCCTCTTTTTAAATTCTTTAGGGTGTCTACATTCCAAAAAGGGGTCAATTTGGGGGGGGTTGTTGCTATCCTGGCATTTCAGGACCTTCGAAACTGTGATAGGTAGTGAGGAAGTGAAATGAGGAAGTTACGCACTTTAGGCTTTCAAAGTGGTCATTGGATTTCAGGCTCCTGTATGTGGCTAGGCTCCCAAAAAGTCTTACACATGTGGTATCTTCATACTCGTTGGAAGTAGCAGAATGTATTTTGGGGTGTAATCCCACATATACCTACGCATGCACGGTGATCGGTGGTGCGCTGCGTCCCTCGGACACAGCGGATCACCCATCAAAGGAAAGAGCCGAAGATGTTGGCTCGGTCATGTGATCAGCTGTGTCCAATCACAGCTGATCGCATGTAAATAAGGAAATGCCGGTTATCGGCATTTCTCTCCTCACGAGCTGTCACGTTGACAGCTCGAGAGGAGAGCCAGTAATCGGCATTCCTCAGAAGGGACATGGGCACTGATGATCAGTGTACCCTGATGATCAGTGTAGCCCCAGCAGTGCCACTTGTCAGTGTCCATCAATGCCAGCTGTCAGTGCTCATCAATGCCACCTGCCAGAGTCCATCAGTGCACATCAATGCCACATATCAGTGCCCATCTGAGCTGCCTTTCAATGTCACCTATCAGTGCCAGTCAGTGCCGCCTATCAGTGCTGCCAATCATTGCCGCCTATCAGTGCCAGTGTCGCCAATCAGTGCCGCCTAACAGTGCCAGTCAGTGCCACCTAAGTGCCAGTCAGTGCCGCCTATCAGTGCCATATATGAGTGCTGCCTCTCAGTGCCACCTACCAGTGCCACCTATCAGTGTCCATCACTGCAGCCTATCAGTGCCCATCACTGCAGCCTCATTAGCGCATCAGTGAAGGAGAAAAATCACTTATTTACAAACGCATCAGTGAAGGAGAAAAATCACTTATTTACAAACTTTTGTAACAAAAACTAAGAAAAAGGGTTTTTTTTCCCCAAAAATTTGTTTTTGGTTTTGCAAAAAATGAAAAAAAACCCAGAAGTGATTAAATACCACCAAAAGAAAGCTCTGTCTCAAAAAAATGATAAAATATCATATGAGTACAGTGTTGCATGACCGCGCAATAGTCAAAGTGTGACAGCGCTGAAAGCTGAAAATTGGCCTGGGCAGGAAGGGGGTAAAAGTGCCCTGTAGACAAGTGGTTAAATTACAACTTAGTGTAAAAAAAAAAATGTTTTTGTCATTTTCCAGAAACTTGGGGAAAAAAAATAAATCTTCCATAGATTCAATATGTCTCTCAGCAGATAGCTTAGGGTGTCTACTTTCCGATAAGGGGTCATTTGGGGGTGTCTGTACTATCCTGGTATTTTAGCACCTCAAGAAATGTGATGAGCAGTCAGAAAGGAAAAGCTGTGTAAATTCCATTATCTATACCATAGTGTGTAGACGCTACAACTTTCACACAAAGCAATCAATATACGCTTATTGGGATTTTTTTAACCAAAACCATGTAGCAGAATACATTTTGGCCTAAATTTATGACGAAATTTTTAGTTTTTTGGATGTTTTTTATGACAGAAATGAGAAAATACCATTTTTTTCCTCAAAACTTTTTTTGTTTATAGAGCCAAAAATAAAAAGCTGACACCAACAATGAGGCACGATTCCTCCCCCAAATGACACCAACGATGGGGCACGATTCCTCCCCCCACTGACACCAACGATGGGGCACTATTCCTCCCCCAAATGACACCAACGATGGGGCACGATTCCTCCCCCCACTGACACCAACGATGGGGCACAATTCCTCCCCCCACTGACACCAACAATGGGGCACAATTCCTCCCCCCACTGACACCAACGATGGGGCACAATTCCTCCCCCCACTGACAACAAGGATGGAGCACAATTCCTCCCCCCACTGACACCAAGGATGGGGCACTATTCCTCCCCCCACTGACACCAAGGATGGGGCACTATTCCTCCCCCCACTGACACCAAGGATGGGGCACTATTCCTCCCCCCACTGACACCAATGATGGGGCACTATTCCTCACCCCACTGACACCAATGATGGGGCACTATTCCCCCCACTGACACCTATGATGGGGCACTATTCCTCCCCCCACTGACACCAAGGATGGGGCACTATTCCTCCCCCACTGACACCAAGGACATATTTCCGATGGTCTTAGGAACCGAGACACCGCTCCTCGCCGCCGCCGCCACCGCCGTCTCCAGGTGTGGGCGGGATGACATGCCGCCCCTGTCATCTGGACACACCTCGAGATCAATCCTCGCCTGTGATTGGCCGCCGGCACTGTAGCTCAGGCACACAGGCGGCCAATCACCGGCAAGGAGGTGGAGCTTGGAGAGGAGGGGCCGAGCGGCACCGCGAAGATCGAGCGAGTGAAGAGGAGGAGAGCGGCCGGAGAAGGAAGACAGCTGACAGGTAAGTGTCTGTACCATGGGAGAGGGAGGGAGCGAGCGAGCCCAGGCTGGAGCAGGGGTCTGCAAGGTAAGTATCACTGGTGTCAGTGGGAATAGTGCCCCATCATTGGTGTCACTAATACCAATGATGGGGCACTATTCCTCCCACTGACACCAATGATGGGGCACTATTCCTCCCACAGACACCAATGATGGGATACTATTCCTCCCACTGACACCAATGATGGGACACTATTCCTCCCACTGACACCAACGATGGGGCACTATTCCTCCCCCCACTGACACCAACAATGAGGCACGATTCCTCCCCCAAATGACACCAACGATGGGGCACGATTCCTCCCCCCACTGACACCAACGATGGGGCACTATTCCTCCCCCAAATGACACCAACGATGGGGCACAATTCCTCCCCCCACTGACACCAACAATGGGGCACAATTCCTCCCCCCACTGACACCAACGATGGGGCACAATTCCTCCCCCCACTGACACCAAGGATGGAGCACAATTCCTCCCCCCACTGACACCAAGGATGGGGCACTATTCCTCCCCCCACTGACACCAAGGATGGGGCACTATTCCTCCCCCCACTGACACCAAGGATGGGGCACTATTCCTCCCCCCACTGACACCAATGATGGGGCACTATTCCTCCCCCCACTGACACCAATGATGGGGCACTATTCCCCCCACTGACACCTATGATGGGGCACTATTCCTCCCCCCACTGACACCAAGGATGGGGCACTATTCCTCCCCCCACTGACACCAAGGATGGGGCACTATTCCTCCCCCCACTGATACCAATGATGGGGCACTATTCCCCCCACTGACACCAATGATGGGGCACTATTCCCCCCACTGACACCTATGATGGGGCACTATTCCTCCTCCCACTGACACCTATGATGGGGCACTATTCCTCCCACTGATACCGATGATGAGGCACTATTCCTCCCACTGATACCAATGATGAGGCACTATTCCTCCCACTGATACCAATGATGAGGCACTATTCCTCCCACTGATACCTATGATGAGGCACTATTCCTCCCACTGACACCAATGACGGGGCACTATTCCTCCCACTGACACCAATGACGGGGCACTATTCCTCCCACTGACACCAATGACGGGGCACTATTCCTACCACTGATACCAATGACGGGGCACTATTCCCCCCACTGACACCAATGACGAGGCACTATTCCTCCCACTGACACCAATGACGGGGCACTATTCCTACCACTGATACCAATGACGGGGCACTATTCCTCCCACTGATACCAATGACGGGGCACTATTCCTCCCACTGACACCAATGACGGGGCACTATTCCTCCCACTGACACCAATGATGGGGCACTATTCCTCCCACTGACACCAATGACGGGGCACTATTCCTCCCACTGACACCAATGACGGGGCACTATTCCTCCCACTGACACCAATGAAGGGGGCACTATTCCTCCCACTGACACCAATGACAGGGCACTATTCCTCCCACTGATACCAATGACGGGGCACTATTCCTCCCACTGATACCAATGATGGAGCACTAGTCCTTCCACTGACACCAATGAAGGGGGCACTATTCCTCCCACTGACACCAATGACGGGGCACTATTCCTCCCACTGACACCAATGACGGGGCACTATTCCTCCCACTGACACCAATGACGGGGCACTATTCCTCCCACTGACACCAATGACGACGGGCACTATTCCTCCCACTGACACCAATGAAGGGGGCACTATTCCTCCCACTGACACCAATGACGGGGCACTATTCCTCCCACTGATACCAATGATGGGGCACTATTCCTCCCACTGACACCAATGACGTGGCACTATTCCTCCTACTGCAAAATTACAGTTATGAAGTAGCAACGAAAATAATTTTATGGTTGGGGGTTACCACAACATGAGGAACTGTATTAAGGGGTCGCGGCGTTAGAAAGGTTGAGAACCACTGGTCTAGGAGGTTCTTGCATTAGGACTCTTAGGGGACTCTAGCTGAGCATACAGTATCACCTGATATGCACATGCCTCTTCTAGGTCATTGACACTCAGTGTAGTAAAGAGAGGCTTGAGGAGACAAACATGTAGTACATACCTTCTAAAGCATGTTAGCATCTTCAATGCAGGGGTGGACTGACCATTTGGAAACTCGGGCACTGCCCGAGAGCCCGGGGTCAGTAGGGGGCCCCATGAGATGTCCCTGGTACCTTTTTCATAGGCTTTTGTGAGTTTGGGCAAGGACACAGGGGCCCCATGATGCCCTATTGCCCGGGGGCCCCATGAGTTGTCAGTCCGCCCCTGCTTCCATGTGTGCCCCTGACAGATTCCTTCTATCAGCACTCATCCTGAACTATGTGCAGGATCCATTTAACCATTTTGCTGTCATTATCATACACATTATATTTTTCTGAAAGCAGAGACCCTGGAGAATAAAATAGTGGTAGTTCCAATTTTTATGTCACAATATATTTGTGCAACGGTTTATCAAGCACAAAATTTCAGAGAAACATAGTTAAGGTCACAAAAATGCAATATATTACTCACTTTTTTTGGTAAAATATAAAAAGTTGAGGATGTGTAACTTTTATTTTTCTACTTTTTTTTCACTTTGACTAAAACTTTATATTATGTAGGAGACAAAAAGTCCCCTATGTGATCTAATATTTTTAGGATAGGTGCTGTTTAATGAGCCATGGGTGAGTATGCAATTTTGTGGATTTAACCTGAAATAACCAACCTGTCAGCACGAGAGCTCCAAATGATATATTTATTGGTGAAGATACAGCTGTATGAGAGCATGCCCTCTGGCCACCTAGTGCTCTGATTAAGTTGATCACAGTTCACATTTTTACAGGGTTTCTTTAGCACAGGCTACACCCATCATTACTTATCAATTTACCAACACCTGTATGTATAGTGGACCTAAAGGAACTTGTATTTAAGAAAACAGAAATTATTCAGATGCCATTTTTGCTGCCTATTACAAATAGAAAAATGCAATTTATATTAAATGTTATATATATCAACTTATAATTGTGTATATGTATATATGCATAATAATAATAGCCACTACTAGTGTAATGAACCTTACTCTAAGACACTCATGTACTTATGATATAATTGAAAACTTTTATTACAGTTATTTCATTAAGATGTACTGTTATGATGGAGGAGAAAGTAAGGATCACATTTAAACCTACTGTACATGTGTCCATTTTAGCTGAAGTCATTGATCTCTCTACAAGTCAAGCTTTTTTTCCCCCAGAGAAATGTATGGATAGATATACAAGTTTACCTGGTTCAAAGAAAAACATTTCAACATGTTATTTTTTTTTTTTTAGTACTTTAGAGATATGGTTTGTCTCTACACTCTAACTGGCACAAATAAAAGACCTATACAAATCTAAAGAAATCAATGCAGCCACCACATCTAAGAATTTGTGAAC